AGAAGTGTATGATGCATTTTAGAAACATTTGTTAAAAATTAAAGAAATATATGTTGCGGCTCTTAAAGAAAGAGAAGGTCCAGTTTTCTGGAAACTGAACTCATTAAAACATTCCTTTCCCATGGATCTTCAACATGTGAGGTGAAGGTAAGAAGGTATTTGTTTTGTATGCATACACAAAGCTGTGCTACGTATAACATGCAGTAGGCTGCCTAGGAATCTTAGCTGTTCCTATCTCCTCTTTTTATATTTGGTCACATTTACTTTTACAGCCATTCGCGAAATAAATCTAGCCTATCAGACAATGTGATCATGGATAGAGCCCAAATACTCTTCACTATATGTGAGAGATTCCGTGTTTTCAAAAAAAAAATTATCTTATTTTTCAATTGACAAACATTTATTTTCTACTCCCTCCTACCTCTCTCCTCTCCACTAAAAGAAAAAGAAATCCCTTGTAACAGTTGGGTGCAGTCGAGCAAAAACAAATTCTCACGTTGACCATGCCCAAAAATGTATGTCTTACTCTGTACCTTGAGTCCACTACCTCTCTGTCAGGAGGTAAGTAGCATGGTTCATTGTTGGCCTTCTGGAATCATGGTCATTCACTGCATTGAACAGAGTTCTTAAGTCTTTCTAAGTTGTTTGTCTTTACAATGTTGATGTTATTATATAATGTGTTTTCCTGGCTTTGTTGACCTCAGTCTGTATCAGTTCATACAAGCCTTTCTAGGTTTTTCTGAAACCATATTTTTTACCCTTTCTTATGGGACAACAGAATTCCATTACATTTCTATAACATAATTTGCTCAGTCTCCAAAATGGTGGGTACCTTCTTTGCCAGTATTTTGCTACTACCAGAAGAACTGCTATATTTTCCCTCTTTCTTTGATTTCTTTGGGGTATAGGCCTACTAGAGGTATCTTTGAGTCAAAGGATATACACAGTTTACTAACTTTCTGGGCATAGTTCTAGAATTCATTCCAGAATGGATGGACTAATTCATAGTTCCATCAATGATGCATTAGTGTGATTGTGTTTCTTTTCATAAATCTAGGTTGCCCAACAAAATGCCTTAACAAGATATGCTGATTTCTTTGCTTCTTTTTGGTAGAAGCAACAACAACAAAACCTGAATACAACTATCAGCAGTGTTTGTTCTTCTCACCAGGTTGGATTTAATCCATAATTTGGCTCTAGTTCACCTAGGGAGGAAGACTATAGGCCTAAAATCTAAAACAATCCTTGGTTGCAGGACAGGAGATGAGTTTATGATGCCACAACTGCTTTCGTGTGTGTTTTCCTAACTGCGTTGTACAGTCACCAGGCTTGCTAAATTTGTGCCCATTTGATTCTCTGGGACCCTCAGAATTGCTCCTACACTCAGAGACTTGGTAAAATTGCTCTGAATAGGTTTTTCTTTAAATAGCTGCACTAAATGCTTAAAGATAACGTAAATCACTTTTTTAATAGAGAATCCCCTGGGCATTACTGTTGCCTTTAAAGGGTCTCCTTTGGAAACAGCCTTGATGTATTTACTAGCAATGGATTTTTGGGGTGCATTTATTGTATTAATTAGTGAAGTAAGCTTAATTAATGTTTTTGGTCTTCCTATTATGCCCCAAGTTTCTTCAGTCTCTGGAGAAATATTCCCTCTCCTCTGTAGGAAAGTGTATTACTTCAGTGTCACTTCGTGCCCTTATTGGCTGGAGGGGAAGTCTTCAGAATCATTAGCTAAATTAATGATTTCATAGGGCTGGCCTTTAGATTCTTATAAAAGTAAGGTAGATGCCAAGGAGATTGCAATTAACTGCACAGTCTTCTAGGTCTCTCTAAGTGAAGGAATCTATTAGGTACTGACCTTGAGAACCTTTAAAAGCTATAGAAAGAAAATGTAATAAATTTTTGTGTTACTGAAGTAATTAATTAGTTATACTTCCCAAATAATATTTCCCATATACAAGTTTCTATTGAATCAAGATTTGGAATTACGTTTCAGACATTACTTCTTTTCAATTACACTCTAGAAAGCTATATAGTTGATACAGTATTTTTCCAAATGGGGAAACTGAGGGGTTAGGAATAGCTTGTTCATGTTTCTACATCTGGTTAACAACTGTCCTAGAAATAAAACCCTTATTTTCTAAATTAGAACCCATTGTGTATGACTCTTTCTCAAAACTCTCTTTAAATATAAGCTCTTAAAATATTTGCAGGATGGATCATAGGATAAGAGAACTAAGGCTGGATTAGATTTCAGAGATCATCTAGTCTAACCTCCTCAATTACAGAGGAAGAAGCAGAGGCACAGGAAATTAGGAGACTTGCCCAAAGTCACACCATTAGTGGGTCTCAGCAGCAGAATTTGAATCCAGGCCCTCTGACTTCAGAACTGGTGCTCTTTCCCTTATACTTTACTGTGATCAGTCATTTTTTCAGCACCACTTGGGACAGAACAAGAGCCAAGGCATTAAACAGTTACCTTGGGATTTGCTCAATCAGAATGGATGGGTGCCCACTGGGAGCTGCACTGTCTACTACTCATTGTGTCACTTTACAAAGCAACTAGAGATGACTAGTGCTTCTACAGGGTTTGTCCTAATTAGATAGTTGAAAGAATTCTCTATCACAACTATGAAACAATAGGTTGGAATACAAAGAATCTTCTCTGGAGGTTGAAAAGAAATCAGTGGCATCTTTCTCCAGCTGAACTTGTGAGGTGCAGGAAGGTGATGTCTAAACTAAATGATCTCTCAAGGTACATTCCAGCCTCGTGGTTTCTTTATGGTTTTCAAAAGAAAGTGTTTGGGGAAAGGGAGGAATGAACCATTGTGTTCACCTGGATAACTGCATTCAAACCAGTATTCTCTTTCACAAAAGTGAAATGAAAGATTCTTCAGAAAATGAGGAATGGGAGTATACTCTGCATATGTTTGGGAACAGCTTGCCAGTCCTTGAATATTAAGAGTAGACAGTTTAAATCTTCATGGGGCTAAATAATATGTCATTTCTCTACTCTCAAGAGCGTCTGTTCAGTGGCTAAAGCAGAGGGCAGGGTCCGTTTCTATTTCTGGCACTGATTGTTCTGGGACTGGGAATAAAAGAATTTTACCTCTCAGTACCTTGGCTGCCACATCTGTTGAGAAGACAAAACCTGATGCTGAGGAGTTCTGTGAGTCATATTTTATATTTATAAACCACTTTCAGATCCATGGACGAAGGTCTTATAAAATCCGTAAAATGTTATTAATAATAGAGCCGGCCTCCTCCATCATTTGCAGAACTAATGAAGAATTAGGGTGGACAGCAGACCAGGCAGGTACTGGCCATAGTTTGTTTAGTTTATCATTTCTGCTCATCTTGGGAGCTTTTTCATTTTCAAAGCAATACTCTTCTTCATTATACATTTTGAATTTCATTTAAATGAAAAAGCTTCGTTGGGCAGTTTTATTATTTTAGTAGTTCGAGTCTCATGCTCCCTCTTACTTGAATTGGCATTCATATCTGCAAGCTAGTAGTAAGGCAGGAAGCTGGGTGGGGGTGATGAGTGACATGTAAGGAGGAATCTTATACTTAAAAAAATCCAGAGTCCTGACCACCAGGGATGCATTCTGTGTCCAACATTCTGTTGGGTGGAAGCTTCTAGAAGCTGCCCTTGATCAGTTCTGAATTCAATGTAATCTTGTTTTTTGACACATACCCTAAATATAATCTGATAAAAACATTAGTTTGATATGACCAAGATGTGGTAATGCATTTGGGTGGGAAATCATACAGAGAAAAATAAGCTATCTTCTCCATACTTTAAGCTTGATACATAGTACAGTCAATTCTTTTTCTTCTTTTATAATTCATGAAAAGCCAAATGAGCTACCTAAAATAATCCCTTAAATCACATATTTTGGAGGAACATGTCTTCTCCAGTACCTAATGCTTATTTTCTAAGGAATGAGATTAGTCAGTATCATGAACCAATTGCCTTTCATGAGACTCTACTTGTAACTTTCCCAGCTTTCACAGTGATCAATCAATCAATCAATACATATTTATGAAGGACTCACTATGTGCCAACATTGTGCTAAGCACTGGGTGTACTGTTCAGAGATAGAAGGTAATGGAATCGGAAGGCATTAGCAGCTGGGGGAAAGGCCCCCTGGAAAGTGACACAAGCTAGGTCTTGAAGAGAGAAGGAAAATCTTTCTAGACATAAGGGATTTCATGCAAAAGCATGAAGACAAGAAATGGAATGCTGTATGAGGAACAGAAAGTAGTAGACCAGTATGGCTGGATTGTAGTGGACATAAAGGGAATAACATGTAAGAAGACTGGAAGGATAGGAAAGGGCTAAACTATTAAAAGCCTAACAAAAGAATTTATATTTGATCCTGGAGATAGCAGGGAGACAAAAGAATCTATTGAGTAGAGGGGTGACATGGTCAGTCTTACATTTTAGAAAAATGAATTTGGCATCTGCATGGAGGGTGGATTTGAATGGGGAAGATTAGAAAGCTATCACAATAATCCAGTGAAGAGGTGTGAAAGGCCCAAATAAGGACTATTTGAATGGAGAGAAAGGGACATATATGAGAAATCCAAATGTAGAAAGGACATGACTTAGTGAGTGGTTGGATTAATGAAGTAAATTAAGGTAGGTGAGTCTAGTGGTTTTAACAATTCAGTTGCATAGACATTACCCATAAATTTTGTCTCCCTGCTCATTTTTGGCGCTGGAGAAGTCTTTACCAAACCCAGAGATGGAAAGAATGTGAAATCTGGGAAAAGGAAAAACTACTGACAAAGTAATAGACATAGGGTTCTATTTTCAACTTTGGGTTTATGAGTACATCGGCCAAACACAGCCCACAGTGCCAAGAGAAGCAAGCACCTTGGCACTGAACCTTTGAGGAGGGAAATGGGTCTTCAAAATATATTATTTGCTTGTCCAACTAGTAGTCCACGCTTTTTGACACTTAAAGATAATTATGCTGACAATGCTCTACCTTCCGGAGTGGTTTCAGTTTGGTCTCCATGATGAAGTCATACTTGCAGAGCTCACAGCAGCGGGTGTCCGAACTCTTGATCCACTGGTGCAGGCAGGCCTGGTGAACAAATCGTAGAGTTCCCGTGCAGCGACATGGCGTGATAAGGGGGCTCTCATCGTCTCCCTCACAGTGACAGATCCTAGGGAGGAGAACAGCAAAAATTAGTGAGACATCTTCCAAGGATCTTATGGAAATGGAAGAGGGGAAGAAGGTGTTAGGTATTGTTTCGGTTTCAGTATTTAGTTTCTATCTATTCAATGTCTTAGAAATTCAGTCCAAGAAATTCAACAAACATATATCAAGTACCTGTTATGTGTTTAGCACTGTTAGGTGCTGGGAGAGACAAAAACAAACACCAAAGTCACTGCCTCAAAGACATTATGTTGCACTAGCTACATTAAAAGCTAAGATTCAGAATTCTAAGCCATTTTATCCCAACTAGATTCTAGGATAAGATCTACCTATAATAGGGTATATTTAAAACCAATCCATCAACTCCTAGTCTCTTCTCAGACTGGGAAGGGAAATATATCCTTCTTAACTACAAGTTCCATGATTCCTAGCTAACTTTCCCTTGCACGGAAATAAGTTCATGATAGATCTGAACTCTCTGTTACATATTATCAACATGACTCAACCATTCTTCCTTCCTTCTTTCATTTTTTCCAGGCATGGTGGTGTATGCTCATAATTTCTGCTGTTGGGGAGACTGGGTTGCTGCAGTATGACTAAAGTAAATCAGATATCCACGCTAAGTCTGGCACCAATATAGTGAGCTGTGGGGATGGGGGTGGAGTGGGGAAGAGGGCCATCAAATTGTTTAATGAGGGGTAAATCAGTACCAGTCCAAAATAAAGCAAGTCAAAGAATTTATATACATATATATATATATGAACACACACGTATATATTCATATATTTTTATATGTAAATATATACATCTAGACACATGTATACATATATATACATACATATAAATGTATATGTAATATATATGGGCCAAGGGGTATATGTATGTGTGTGAGTACACACATACACACATATATATACACACATATCCACACAAACATATCTATATACATTTGTATGTATAAAATTTATCATCTACCCTTTTTCTCTTTCATTCTCTCTATCCATCCATCTATCTATCTATCTATCTATCTATCTGTCTGTCTGTCTGTCTATACTAGTTGTTTGAGAGAGGCAGATACGTTATAATCAATAACTGTCCTCAGAATCAAGACCTGTCTCTAACACATTAGATATATGACCCTGGACAATCATTTATAATTTTAAGTGCCCTAGGCAATTCTCTAATATTAAATCACAGAACAAGTGCAGAGAAGTTTCCTCACCAGGAGTTCCCTGTACCAAAGAATTCACCAGTCCATTTTTTTGAAGTGTTGGTTGAAACTGGAATTAAGCTTTAAAGTGTTTATTTGCTGAGTTGCATAAAAAATACTGTCACTCAAATACCCATGTGTAAATAAATCTCTTCTTATCACTACAACCCCTCTATAGTCCTAAATACTGAAAAGATCCAATCAATGGGATATTATAGTCAGTGATATCCTCATGGGCAAGCTTGCATGTGGCTGATAAAACACTGGCCCTAAGTCCTGTTCTAGAGCATATTTTCATGTGACTACTCCTTTGATTAATTTGAATGAGAACTTGAAAGTGGCAGTAAGTAATTTACTAAATACTACTCTACCAACCTGGAGGAGGTTGTATGTTTGAAAGTGCCTCCTATAGAGTGATTTAAGAAGAGAGAATATCTAGTCAGCTAAATTACAAAGATTTTCATGCTAAAAAATAAGAAAAAAATTGTGGGGTTTTTTATTTGTTATGGTGGATGAAGTGACTGATGATGACAATTTAAATCAAACTCTTCAAAATTAATAAATACATGGAGTCTGTGTACAGCAAACAGAAAAACCTGGGCTTTGGAAGTGTTATTTACCAGACTGACATATTTTCATAATTTGGTGATGTGGAGTTTTCTCACAAAGCATTTGCATTTTATCTTTGGTGAATTGAGTTGAGTTGAATCCCTACCCTCCCCCCACAACCCTGGGTTATAAATTCAAATCTTTGCCTATGTCTTTAGTTCTTACAGTCTGACAGATATTAGATGAGCTCAGCATGGTTTTGACAAAATTTGGAAGGATGTCTAATGATTTCATTTTCCCCCTAAAAAGTCAGAATATCTTTTTTTAAATGAGCTAAGTCATACTGATGGACCCATCAGAAGGTAGGAATGCCCTTGTGCTCCATTCTCTTAAAGTCTCAGTATAAAGAGAAGGATGTTGTATCAGTAATCCTCCTCGGAGGAAATGAAATGGAGCTCAAAGTGTCATCTGCAACCAGACACAGGAATTGAAACCTAACTCCCCCAACCTCAAAATAAAGAAGTGTGATTGCAGGAGGCTTGTCTTTTGCCTCCCAGTTCCCAAGGAATATGAAATAATTCAGAAATATAATTCTGGAACCAGTTGTATCCTTTCACACTGGACTCCAAACCAACTAAGAACCACAAATTCTGCACCAGAGATATCTCAAAGAATCTCAGACCCAATGTTGTGTTTTTGTTTTCTGGAAGGTGAGCACAAAAATAAGGATCTTTTCTAGGGGAGACAATTGACCAACATGGTGAGACTGAAATCTAGTAGTATTTGCATTATTATTAACACTGAGCCTCTAACTATGACTATACAGAACATTCTACTGTCATTTACTTTGGTTTCTGATGGAAAACAGTCCATGAAATGGCATCAAGGAATAATGCTGCTTCCATTGGTTATATGAATTAACCTGGAAGCTCTCAAACTCTTTCCCAACACTTAAAAAAAAATATGAGGTTCCTGCTCTCCAGATCCTGGTTTCCATGCTTAAACAACACACCAGAGCTGTAGTTCACAACTGAAAATAATTTTAAAATATCTCTAAAGTAATGGGAAACAATCATTCAAATAAATCACCAAGGCTTTTGCAGACTCTGAAATTGAAGGAAAGGTTAAAAAGAGAAGCAGGCAATGAAAATGAGAGCATATAATGACCACCTCCTCACCTGTTTCCATCAACAATCTAACAATACTCCAGCAGCATTGGTTCTGGTGGACAACCTCTACAAGCTGAAAGACTTCATTATTTTCTGTATTCATTTGAGGGTTGGGGAGTAGGAGGGAAGAAAACAAAATGGAGTTGGAGAGGCCCCTTAAAAAGTGACATAACTTACTAGCTGTGTGACTCTGGTCAAGTCACTTAACCCTGATTGCCTTGCCAAAAAAAAAAGTGACATAAGAACAACTTATATTTCTATATCCCTTTTAGGTCTGCAAAAGACTTTCACAGAATCTGAAATTTAGAACTGGAAGGAATTTCAGGGATTATCCAGCCCAACTTCCTCATTTTATAGGTGAGAAAATAAAGGAAGGCCCCAGAGAGAAGTAATTTGTTAAAAGTCACACTGGTAGTAAGTGCCAGAGGCAGGATTCAAACCCAACTTTTATAAATCGAAAGCCAGCATCTTTACTATTATACCCATCTCCTGATTTTTTGTTGTTCAGTAGTTTCAGTTGTGTCCAACTCTTCATGGCCCCATTTTGGGGTTTTCTTGGCAAAAATACTGAAATATTTTGCTTTTGCTTTTCCTTTTCCAGCTCGTTTTATAGATGAGGAACTGAGGTAAACAGGGTTAAATGACTTGCCCAGGGTCACATAGCTAGTAAGTGTCTGAGGCTAGATTTGAATTCAGGAAGATGAGTCTTCCTGACTCCTGGCCTGGCACTCTATCCACTGTACCACCTAGCTGCCCATCTCTCTTTTACAGGTGAGAAGACTGAGACTCAGATAGGTTTGGTGACTCACCACACTTGACACCCAAAAATGTCAGATTCAGGATTCAAACCTAATCCCTGCCAGCATCAAATCCAATGCTGTTCCACTGCTTTATATGCTGAACGCTTTGAAGCTGTTGCAAAGAATTCCTAGTGTTAATCTTTACATCAGCTTTTTTTTAAAAGGAATTCATAACTTGTCTTTAAACAAAAAATTAGCTGATTCAACTTAGCAAGTTCAAATGATCAGAGGACTAGAGATTTAGAGACTGAAGAGACATCAGAGGTTAACTTTCCACTTATTTTACAGTGAAGGAAACTGAGGTGTGGATGTGTGGATAGGGGCAAGTGAATTCTCCAAGGTCATATAGGTAATGTGTCAGAGTAGAGTTTCAAGTCCTCAAGCCCTGGTCCTTGGACTCCAGAGACAGGACTTTTTCCATTTTACCATGATAACCCAACCAGATTGTTGATTTGACCTCATTTTCTCAGATACTCCTTCTTTATAACTTAAAAATTTTTTTTTTCATTTCAGGAAAACGTTACATGAAATATCAGCAGCAACATTTTCTTTTTAAAATTAAAGCCATTTGCTATTGGGAAAATCAAAAGATTGTTCATTTTTGTTCCCATTGCACATAATCCATTTTTACAGGTTCTTGCATATTAAGCCCTTGTGAAGCCATCCTACTCAATTAGGGCCCCAAGAGTCCTTTTCAAACTTTGTTGGAATTGTTCTCAATGGTCTTAAGAGCTGAAATATCAGCCTCAAAAATCCCCTGGAACTAAAATGAAAGTAGTAGCATCATTAAGGAAGAAGAAAACCACCTAACCAAACAGTTTCAAAGGACTCTGGCTGAATGAAAAATTAAAATACTATAATGAGAACATAAATGTCTCTTCCCCTTAACCCCAAGAAGAGGAACTATTGGTAAGAAATTATATTGGAAGTAAAGTAAAACTATTTTGTTAAATTTGGATACATTTCTGAGAACGCCTAAATTTCCTCAAAGAGCATGGAAACTAATTTTGTAAGGATCTGAGTCAGGAATGAAATATGCAAAGGCCAGAGTCCCCAGCAAATGAATTGAATCAAGTAGTAACACATTTTTTTGGATTTGAAGAAAGATACCCAGAAGATCTTCATCATCCATGACTAGATTTTACTTTTGGGTGCCTGGAAGGATTGTGTGATCCAAGTGCAACTTTGGTGTTGGCATGGCTTACTATTCCCAACCAAAACTCAAAAGCTGTGGCTGGATAAGGTGGCTGCTTATACATTAAACATCAAATTAGAGGTA